CTGTTTCTTCTTCTTTTAAGTCATGTACCATCAGCAAATGAAGGTCCAGAAAGGTTTACTTCATTCCTGTTATTCAAGTCACTGTACTTGGAGGAAGCAGCTCTTCCCCAGTCATATTTTGGGTGCCTCCCAACCTGAGGGGCTTATGCTCCAGCACTATATCAGACAATGTTCTACACCTTTTCATAAGGTTTTCAGTAGCTAATCATTCAGAAATCCAAGGAAAATGAAGTCTTGATAACTTCAATCTTTTCTCCATGTATATGGAAGCTGTTTATTGGTCCAGTGATGAGGATTTTTTGTCTTATTTACACTGAAGTGCAGCCCACACTGAAGGCTGTGATCTTTGATCTTCATTAGTAAGTATATTAAGTCCTCATGGAAACAGCAGTCAAGAAATTAAACAATATGGCAAATCTACTGTAAAAGACCTCTTAAAAATGTTCAAGAGCAAAGATATCAGTTTGAGGACTAAGGTGCTACTGACTCAAGCCATAAGTATTTTTAATAACCTCATATGCATTTGAAAGTTGGATAGTGACTAAGGAAGACTGTAGAAGAATTGATGCATTTGAGTTGTGGTGTTGGAGGAGAATACTAAAAGTACCATGGACTGCCAGAATAAGAAACATACCTGTGTTGGAAGATGTATAGCCAGTGCTCCTTGGAAGCCAGGATTGCCAGGCTTCATCTTTCATGCTTCAGACATATTGTGAGGAGGGACCAGTCCCTAGAGAAGGCTATCATGTTTGGTAAAGTGGAGGGTTGGAGAAAAAGAGAAAGACCTACAACTAGATGGACTGGCACAGTGGCAGCAGCAATGGGCTCAAATGTAGCAATTATTGTGAGGATGTGCAGGATTGGGCAGTGTTTCTTTCTGTTGTGCATAGGGTCCCTATGTGTTGGTACCGACTCAGCTGCATTTTAGCAAAAATACCAACAAACATTCAGAAGTGGTCCACCTCACCTTTGTCAAAGCTTGTTTTAGTCTGGAAACTCAGCTGAAATCTGTTCATGATGGGTGATACCCCTTGTGTTTAAAATATCTGTGACATAGCTTCCAATATCACAGCACCACACAAGACACTACAGTATGACAGTTAAATGCATGTTGAATGGCTTCCAATAGTCATGTAAAAAACTCAAAAGTTATTTAGAGTTAATTAGATAATAATAACCTAAAAATTGAGTTTAGTTATTTCCTGTATAGTCAAGAAACTTTAAGTGTGCCCGTTTTTTATATACATTTTACCTTATATAATGGTAACTAATGTATAATTTTTTCCTCTAATTTTATAAGCCCAGATCCTTGCTATTAAGGATTTGGGGATAGTGGCCTTTTCTAGTGTTGACCTGAGGAATTTGAAAACAGGTTATTTTTTCCCTTGGTGCACTTGAGTGTTCATTTTAAAGTCTGGTCATCCCACTGAGGATAAGGCATAGACTTTTCTCTGTGAATAAAAATAAATCGCAAAACATTTTGTTTACCTCCAGAAATTCTAAAATGTTGGTGAGTTAATCTAGGAGAATCTTTATGATTTAATTTATTGATCCAGTCATAACATACAAACCTGATGAACAGCTTTTATAACTTTAAATCATTTCAATATTCCCTTAGTCGTTTTAACTGTGTCTTAGTCTATGTCCAGGTTCCTCATGAGCACAATTAAGTCTTCTGGTATACCTACTATTTGCAATGTTTCTTGTGTTTGTCTTGATGTACACAGTCAACTGCTAACCACAAGGTCAGTGGTTTAAACTCACCAGCCATTCCTTGAAACCCTATTCAAGGCCGCTTTGAGTTGGAACCAACTCAACAGCACTTATCAACACCAAAAGAGTCAAAAGTCTTTCCATAGTCAATAAAGTACAAAGTCAACATCTTTCTGGTTCACATATGCTTTCAGCCAAGATCCATCTGATGTAGAGTGATAGCCCTAGTTCCATGTCGTCTTCTGAATCCAGCTTGAATTTTCAGCACGTCTTTGTCGATGTACTGTTGTAACCATTTTAAAATAGACTTTAGCAAACTTTTCGTACCAGCTAGGAGCTCATAAAAATTCTTTCAGTTTGTATCTGTGTAGATCAAGACAAAAATTACAGTGGGTCTGTAATTTTTTTTTTCCCCTTTGTTTTGACCCTGAGCATTACCCTTATACATTTTGATGGATGAATTTACTAGGCAGATTATTAATAAGGATCATGCAAAACTTATTTTGTAATAATTACTAAACTTAAAATGTTTTTAACAAAATATTTTTCTGGAAGGTGCATAAATTTAAAAAAATCTATGGATTTGTTGGTTTAAGGTATACTGAAGTATAGATGTAAGTCATATAGACTTTACAAAGTTATTGGACAAGCAAGACATAAGTAAAAAGATATTCCAAACCCTCATAAACTCAAACTGCTGAAGGTAAAATGCATCCTGGTGCAGACAGGGTGATCGAAAAGCTGTGTCAGATAAATTCTAGTCTTCTTGGATGTTTATATGGTTCATGATACTGCTTTTTTTCTTGTACCCTTTGCAAATCATTTCTAAAGTGTGTATGTGGGTCTGTCAATTTGGGTATTTTTGATCATGCAGTTAATAGTGTTGTGAGTTTTTTAAATTAAATATTTGTTAACAGATCTGTGATGTAGGTAAGACATGTGTTATCTATGTTTAGGGTTGGAAGGTAATAATGCTATGGTGACAGTGCTAGGACTCAAGAGTAACTATTCACTTGTTGTGTTGATAAGTACCATCAAGTCGGTTCCAACTCATAGTGACCCTGTACTGGGTTTCCAAGGACTAGCTGGTGATTTTGCACTGCTGTCCTTGTGGTTCAAACTGACCTTGTGGTCCAGTGCATTATCCCACAGCTCCACACCAGGATTTCCTGTTGATTTAGTGTCAAGACAATAATTAAGCACTTGGTTGCTAAGTGAAAGACTTTCGAGTCCACCTGAAGAAGGCAGTTTTGAACAAAGGCCTAGAGGTCTACTTTCAAAAAAATCTAGCCCCTGAAAGCCCTATGGAACACAATCTATTACACTCATGATGCTGCCATCAGACAGAATCCACTCAAAGGCCACTGGTTTGTTTTGCCTTTTATTAATACAGCAAACAGTGTACTAGACTTAACTTAATTTAGAAATTATCCAGCATGTTATTGTGTGCCATCTTGTAATTTTCAACTCTTTGTGACCCTGTAGAGGATTTCTGAGTATGTAAATTCCTATGTGAGCAGAAAGCCTCAATTTCCCTCCATGAAGCAATTGGTTGATTCAAACTGCTCCACTTCAACTCCCCTTTTTTGTATCTTACTTTGTGTTGGGTGTGTTGACAAAAAAACCTTCCATTGTAGATACATTTATACTGAGTTTGTGAAATATAAGTACATGGAAGAGTATAATGACTTGAAGTTAGTTTCTTATATAATTATTGCAATTATCTTCAGTTTAGGAATGAATGGCTTTTGGATCATATCTTCCACTCAGTATGCTATGGTATCAAACAAGATGAAATGGACTGAGTTTGTGCCATGAAATATACCTGTATATATCACGCACACCTGAAATTTGCAGATTGTAGAGGAGAAAGAGGGTTTAAAAAACATAGACTAGAAACTAATCTGTGAAAAACTCTCATAAGTTTTATAATGCATGTATGGAAGAAATGTAGTAGAAAATTTTCTAAATTTAAACATACTTACCAATAACACTATGTGAAATTGAAATATCACTAATAATAATGATTTTTGATTTACCATGGCAGATAAACTTACTCTTTATATAGAAAATGAAATACAATTCTCAAATGAAGAGACACTTAACAGAATACAGCAAAAAAAAAAAAGAGGGTAAAAGTATTAGAGAGAAATTTCAGCAATTTAGTTAATGAAAACATTTTTATTTTTCTAGATTTTGTGGTAGTATTGGTATTGGCCCATTTTTTAAAATGAAAATTAGTTGACAAAATTAGTTGACATAATAATTGCATCGGTACTCATTTTGTATTTTAAATTTTGTATTATTTTAAATTTTGCAAGCTTCGAGCCCAGCATATACCATGCTTTTAACGTCACTATTACTCTCCACATTTTAAACATTAATAGATTGCATATGTTGTTCGAGGAGGAGAAAGCTTCCTAGCATCCTTTTTCCTATTCAATCAGCTGCCTTTTCTCAAAGTTCAATCAATTATCAGGAAGAGAAAATATCAGATGTCATGCAGAAGGCTATATCCATAGAATTACATGATAAGCCATTATTTATTTATTCATTCCTTAAAATGTGTATCCCATTTTATGAATTTTGTTTAGATGCCCAAATCATACTGCTTCCTTGATACAGGACTGCAACTTTACGTAAAATATTCTCTGTAATTTAGGCAATTTATTTATTTTTTCCAAAATTTTTAACATCCCACCCTCACATCCCAGTAACCAGCAAAGAATTCCCCTCCTCCCCTTTAGTATGGGTTCTTTTTCTTAAGTCTTTTACGGTACTGGTCATATGCAGTATTTCTCCTTTTGCCACTGACTAATTTCACTCAACAAAAAAACGTCATTTTATATAACAACACAATTTTGTTTATAAGCAAAAACATTTATAAACAATATCATTATTCATTTATAAAAGTAAATTGCCTAACTTACAGAATTTCTATAAATATTATGCAACATGTGATTCACACTAATTAATTCAAAAGACAAGTTCTCAGAATATTTTTCATTCTGAAACTGTGAACTATATGTCTGAGACCTTGTAAAAAATTCTAATTATAAATATATTCCTTTAAATTTTAAATATAATCTTGATTTTATAAAGATTGTATTATCATGGGGTATTTATTATTTAACACATGTGAGGAATTCAGAAGCTTATCTATGAAGTCTAGAATGCTAATTGAAAAGTGTAAAACTATTCTAATCTGGATGGTCAAGAAACAGAATAGAAAGCCTTTTCTGAAATAGAAATTAATTTGGAGCCTATTTAAGAAAGAAAATGACCAATCCAGGTAGACAAGACTTGAGTTTATTTATAGGATTTGTAGCTCCCTTCTTGAAAGGACATTTACAAATTTGATTTAAAAATAAAAGATATTCTGAATGACAAATGTTCACTTTTTAATGTAAATATTACAGGAATTCACTTTCATGATAACTTATCAGTTGAAAATGTTCCAGTGGAATCTGGTATCAATTAATTTAACATTTTATATAAGAAATAATAAAACACATTTATTTTCAAGTCTTACATATATTATTTAATATAGATACAATGTTCAGTTTGTAATTGTAAAATTTTACTCCTATATCAAGCTACCTGAAAGAAAAACACCTAAGTAAAAAAAAAAAAAATGTTTTGATAGTCTTGATTAAGTATGACTTTTAAAATAAGCACTGTTAGTAACAGGCCACCCACATGTTATTTAGAATTTAAATATGTCAAATAATGCATGAAATTATTTTGAAAAGAAAGAAATATGTGTTGGGCAGTTAAAGTAATATTGAGATTATTATTGTATGCAATTTAGAATCAAATTCCAGAAATTGGTTGATTAAAAATCTAACATTGCACAAATTCATAAATAATTGTTTCATTTCCATTTTTAAATCAGTCTGTATCGTAGAAGCATGCCAAACAAAATGAGATGAGATAAGGTAAAGAAAAAAATATTATACATCTGATTGCTTGATGGAGGCATCAATTTGTTAAAATAGCTTCTCATACACATTTTCCTTTCCAAAAATATAAAATTGCTTATTTTCTGTACATACAGTTATCCTATGAAATCCTGGATTCTGAGGAAAAACATGTCTGAGATATAGCATTAAAGAAAACATTGAAACACATGATATTTTTGGCTGTAATTCAGCAAAAGTTGCTGTCAACAGAGGAGAGATGATCTGAGTATGCCTCCAAAAGTCTTCCAGGTTTTTGCCCTCTGAGATTTTTGTTGGCGGCTTCAAATAATTGAACTCTTCAACATCAATATATACAAAGGCATTTTATTATTAATAAAAAAAAAGGGAATTAGAGTCACAGAAATTACAACTTTATTTTTTCATAATACATATATTTATTGCCATCATATTATGTAATTGTCACAAAATTAGAGTCAGATGAAATTCAGAGACATGTGCAAGTTTTGGAAATGGACACATAGATAACAGTATAGACCTGTACATAAAATAATTACATTTTATTAAACACACTTTTTTTAGTACATCCTTGATGGATGAAAATGAGCACCATATCTTTTATGAATATATATTTTTCTCTCTTTTTGTTTTCTACAGCACCAAAGAAATCCAAATAGGAAAAGGAGAAACAAGAATTAGGGAATCAAGAAGCAGCCCTGTTTTCCATCTCAGCCACGTTATCTTATACCTTGATGAGTTTCAATGCTTTTGTCATGTGGTTCTGCCCTCACAAGGGCATTAATATTTCCTAAATGGTACACATTTATGTAGCAAGCTGTTGTCTATATCATCCTTACTCAAAACTTGCATGTGGCATAAAATGGCTTGTTTGGTGACACCAAGGTAAATTTCTGTTGGTTTTATATGTTCTTTGTGCTACTATCAGCCAAGAAAACAAACAGGACCAACTTCAAATCCAAACTTCTGATTCTGATCACCAAAGTCATTGATCATTACATCAACAATAGGTACTTGATTAATTTTTGGTGTATTGATTTCAATGACAGTCTTTTCATAGCCTTTTCTGGACTGTAAAAATAAGAAGAAATAAAAAGTTACACACATAGCAATTTCTTATTTTTAAAAATACATGTCTTTTTTCTTTTCACTCAGACTTCTGAATGGAGATACAAAGGTAAGAGAGAAAAGAGAAAAACAACATATTTGCCATTATCTGTCTAGAATTTAGCATTTATTCTTGTCACTTTGTTTTTGTTGTTGTTAAGTGCTGTCAAGTAGGTTCTGACTCATAGTGACACTGTATAGGGGATTCTGAGGAGACGCTAAGGTCACATAGATTCATTAATTTTATTGTTGACAATTACATCAAAATATTTGCAGGAATTATACAGCAATTATACTTTGATATTATGCATATTTGAAAATAACCTCTTGAGTTGCTAAATGCAGTTTAATATGAAAATTGATTGATTTTGGATTATACTTCTAAATCTATAGTATATCCTTACAACATAATTATTCTTAAACTATAATGTAGCCAAATTACTTACAATAAAATCAGTACAATGGAATACAAATTGGACTGCTAACCACAAGGCCAGCAATTGGAATCTACCAGCCATATCACAGGAGAAAGATGAGAAATGTTGCTCTTGTAAAGATGCATAGCCTTGGAAGCCCTATACAGGGTTGCTACAGTCAGAAACAAGTCTGCAGCATACAACCTCCACTCACAACTACAGCAATTGTAATTCACTTGCATCAAAAGTCAAAACACTTCTGCTGTATATTAATTTCATGAATAGTTTTAAATACATTGCTAGTGAGAAATGTTTCCAAAATTATTTTTGCACCATTAATTTTTTTTTCTTTTTCTTTTTTTTTTCTCTTTGCACTCTGCTCATTTTGTTGACAGCAGGGGTCTGTTTATTTATAACTATGACTTCTCTTCAGCTATCAATAATTGGCTAAAACAATGAACTTTTAAAGATACTCTATGGATCACTTTGTAGCCCCTGGGTAATGCAAAGATTTAAGTGCTCAGCGCATCTGTTGTTGTTGTTGTTAAGTACCGTGGAGTCAGTTCTGACTCATAGTGACCCTACACAGGGTTTCTGAGGCTGTAAATCTATACAGGAGCAGAAAGCCTCATTTTCTTCAATGGAACAGATGGTAGTTTCGAACTGCCAACCTTGAGGGTAGCAGCCCGATTCATAACTACTAGGCTACCAGTGCTCCTTGCTCAGCTCATCTACTAGCTGAAAATTGACAGTTGACTCCACTCAAAGCTGCTTCAGAAGAAAGGCCTTACAATCTGCTTCCAAAATATCACAACCTTGGAGCCTAATGAAGCAGTGCTACCCTGCTCCCAGGGCATTGCCCTGAGTGGGAATCAGAGTCAGCGGCAACTAAAACAAATAATGAATCATTTTGTTACACAGAATTCTCTTAAGTGTGAAGTAAGAGTTTCAGAGAATAAAAATAACAAAAATGAAAGTAGCCCCTAAACTGTAGCAAAATTGGAATGAGACTGTCTATGATATAAGCGATTACTTTATCTATGACCTTAGCATCATGGATCAAGGAGGCAAATTAAGTAATTTGCAGTGTTTTTGTTGTTTGTTTAGCCTTTTATTTTTTTTTAAACCAAGAATAACTAACAGTAATACCATTAAATTGTGAGAAATAATTCCATAAAAAAATATATATGATACTAGATTATTTCTGTCATGGTTTTAAATGAAAAAATATGTCTATTCTTTTAGTTTATTGCTATGTGTGTGTGTTAGAGAAAATTAGTAGTTTCTAATATTCTGTATTTAATATGTGTATTAAACAGCAAATACTGATAACCATGACTTTCATTTTATAAAAGAAATCTGGTTTCAGATTAAGCTGAGGTGGTTGCATAATACCTTGTTCCTCTATGAAGGGATAAGGCAAACCAGAGCTTATACTCACCGCGCATCCATCATAGAGTGATTTAATGTAAGGATTATTGTCATAGGACAGCTCCTCATCATTTGATCCCAGGAACCGAAGTGCTTTGTTATAACTTCCAGAGGACACATCATACCAGGCTGCTGACTGATGGCAATTGTAGGTGAAATTCTGTCGAGCGGTGGCAGTCAGCAGTTTCAGGAATGTCATTTGCACCATATTAATGGAATTGCCTTCAACATCTAAATATGAAAGCTGGGAATAAAATAACAAAAAAAGTATGAAAATTCTTCTTTCCTCAAATATCAAGTTATAAGACACTGCTGACAGCAAACTATGATTCTAGAAGCTTGTATATGAATCAACAGACCCAATTTTACTTACTTAAAGTACATGAACATTGAGGGTCAGAAGATTCAAGGACATGGTTCCAGGAAATCAGAAATACATTTCCACATGAGTAACTTAAGTATTGTTTCTCTTTGAAAAAAATCACTTTCTCTGTACCTTAGTTTCTAACCAGTAAAACATTGGGGAGAATAAGACTTGTTTCCAAGGAATGATTCATTATAATTGAGTTTCTTTTTAAGAATAGAAGGGTCAGTGAGAACTGAAGTATACATAAATTGTTTGGCTGTTGTTGGTGCTGTTGACCTTTCTAATGCTTCTTTCAAAATTGCATAACTTATCTACCTAATCAAAATCCTTAAAGGCATTCTTACACTTTTCATTTTGGGGTTATAGTAGGTTGAACAGTGATCCATAAAAGATATGTCTATGTCCTATTCCCCGGGATCTGTGAATCTTAACTTATTTTTAAAAAGGGTCATTGTAGATATAACTAAATTTTGATGAGAGAAAGAGCTCTGGTATGGCACTGTAGAATAAGCATGGAACCACTAACTGCAAGGTTGGCAGTTCAAACACTAGCCACTCTCAGAAACATTATATATGATTGGTATAAGTTGGAGAAAGATGAGGCTTTCTACTCCCGTAAAGATTTACACCCTTGGAAACCCTGTACAGGGTCGCTATGGGTCGGAACCGACTCGACGGCACTTCATAACAACAACAAGTTGGAACTGATTTGACTATACATATGCAACAACAACAACAGTAAAAGAAAGGCACAGGGAAAAATGAGACACAGAGTAGAAAACAACAAATACAGAGGAAAAGGTATGTGAAAATAGTGGTAGAGATTGTAGTGATGCTACCCACATGTCAAAAATGCCAACAGTCAACAATAGTTAGAAGAGGTAAAGAAGAGATAGTGTCTAATAGCCTCTGGAGGCAGTGTGTACTTGATAGCACCTGAATTTTATTTGAGAAAAACTGATTTTGGATTTCTATCCTCCAGAAATGTGAAAGAATAAATTTCTAGTTTGAATACACAAAGTTTGTGCTAATTTGTTAAAACTACCCCAGAAAACTATTATGTTGTTATTGCTATTAATTCTCAAGTCAGTTCCTACTCATAGCAGCCACGTACAGAGTTTACAAGGAGTGGCTCATGGGTTTGAACCACTGCCTTGTGGTGGCTTGAACCAATACTTATCCTACAGCGCCACATCAGAACTTTGAAAACAATTATATCAGTGAAAGTTGATTTTCAATCCATATCAACCCTAGATGACTAACAGCTTAGATGATAAGGGAGCCTGTGAGGATGGCGAAAAATTCTATTTGGGAAAGGCCCTCGAAGGAAAGCAAAATAAAATAAAATAAAAAACATGTTAAAACCACACTCAGTGTTCTATCTGCATATGCATTTTTATCTCATACATAGGTAACAGTGAAACATGAATATTTTTTATGCAATTTAGGATTGAAATTTAAAAATTACAAATGAAGTGGAAAATTTTACTGAAAGTTGTTCATTTGGATAGATTCAAATAAAAATAAAAATTGCACAAATAGTTATCAAATTAATTAAAATGATCTTAATTAACATTAAATCATTGATTAGTCACCTGTGTAAACGGGAAACATTTGAATTAGAGTATAGTCTACTTAAAATATTTTAAACAAATGGATCTTTAAAAACAGCTCATCAATATAAATTTAATTTTCTCATTTTATCTTAAACTATCTCTATTTTACTTACTGGACAATTAAGTAAACTCGTGTTATATATCAGGCCTTTATATTTCCAAAATTAATAATCAACAAATACACTATAATTTCCAAAAATCTTTATGAAAGAACAAAGAATGAACTAGGTTTCTAGCAGGAAGAATATAAAACAGGAGGAATCAGAGATACCAAATGGTATTATTTTCTCTACATCTTATATTTCTAACATAATCCTTTTTTATAATGCCTAACTCAGGCATTTAATGAAATGCATACTTAAATTTTATTTTTCCATTAATCTTTATATATTTCCATTTACTTTGGTAGAAAAACTTCACACAACTCTAAAGTACCATAGTGATTCAATAGGTACATATGGAGCAAACTAGAGAACAAATGGAATTCTGATTAGTATAATTTAGATTATCACAGTCAGAGACTAGAAATTTGTAATTGAAGGTTCACTTATGAAACTCAAGATAAGACATTTCACTTTGAAGTGATAACATACCAGTTTTCCTCTCTTGAATTCACTAAACCAGCTTCCTGGTTTTTCCTTTGGCCATGATGAAATTCTTACCTGTTATGAAAAATTAGAAACATGGTACAGAATGTGAATACTGTTATATATACAGCAATATTATAGCAAAGGTTTTGCTAACAGTAAATAGATTCCTTCAGAACAGGGTTGTAAGAAGAATTTTTTTAAGTCCCCTTGAGTGTATGTATGTTTATACACTAACACATATGCATACTTGTTTTATATATACACACACACATATGTATATATATATATATATATAACAAGTATGTGTTAGTGTATAAACATATATACACTCAAGGGGACTGGTAGCATAGCGTAGTGGTTACGAATCAGGCTATAAACTGTAAGGTCAGCAGTACGAAACTACCAGCTGTTCCGTGGGAGAAAGATGATGAGGTTTTCTGCTCCCATAAAGATTTATAGCCTCGGAAACCTGTACAGGGTCACTATGAGTCGGTACTGACTCTATGGCACTAACAACAACATATATATGTATATATATATAT